TGTAGCTGTTTTATGTTTATGTTCCTGATGTAAATAAATTTTATTTTTACAAAACTAATATTCTGTTATCACTACTAATAGTGTTACAGTATCTGTTATTGAATATGACAAATTGCTCAATAACTTGTATCATATTAAGACCATAATCTATCATGTAAAATATTTATTTAGATACTTCGAACCAATTTGAACTCCACATCTGCGAACCCTTTGATTAAATAGAATGTAATACGAAGGTATATATAAGACATTGAGATGAGAGGAGAAAAGCAGAAGAGAACAAAGATCAGCCGTGGGCGAAGGGCGAAATGGTTGTCTTAATGTACCATGTTAGTGTTATTGTTATATTCCTGATGTAGTTATGTTCCTGTTTTATTTATGTTCCTGTTTAATATTCTTGTTCCTGGTGTAAATAAATTTTATATTTACAAAACTGATATTCCGTTATAACTAATAGTGTTACATTAACACTACGCAAATATTTCCTTCCACTTGGTCATGGAAACTTTTATGCTTGTTAACCAACATAATATCCAACAAGAAGGTGTTAAGTCTTACTGAAATTTTGGATACCAGCTAATATGTTCCTGTCGCATACTATCTCCAAATGCACCGTGACTTTGCATGCGCTTGGACATACGCCGAAATCAAACACTTCCTATCGCCACTATTATGCGAACAATTAAATAGAGAAGACCCGTTACTTCTGAAGGAGCTGCTATGAGAGATTCAGCCACTGCCACTTTGATCAAATTGAAGAGACTCTTAATGGTAAAAATACTACACATTCCATAACTTCTGTTCTTTATCAACAGAATGATCTGGCCAGCTATAAAAGCAATATACCAAGATGTTTGTTCAAGCAAAACCAGAGGGAATTAATAAGTATCTTGATTTGGAGAGATATTAAAACAGCTTGAACGCCCAGAAACGCCTATTGTTTCAGAAACCATGAGGAAACGTATACAAGGATTTTGCTGCATACAATTGACACTGTGGATAACCATTCTCGTGTAATAATTAGAAGCGATGATACAGATGTTATTGTTCTGTCGGCTTACTACTGTACCACCAACTCTATCAACATTTATACCTGGCGATGAAGAAAAATCAACTGGTCCAAGATCAAGTTTTGAGTTCTGGTGATGTGACTCTGTTAAAAAATATCCAAAATGTTTTGTTCTACCTCGGCTAGCCTATATAGAAATGGTGATGTGACTCTATTAAAAAATATCCAAAATGTTTTGTTCTACCTCGGCTAGCCTATATAGAAATGTTAATTTCATAGTCAAGAAATGCTTAGGTTCACTTTTGTGCATTTTGGCTTTTATGTAGATATAAACATTATTCAGAGGATACTCAATGGCAGACCTTGAGAATCATCGCATTTCAGCTCGTTGGTCATTCTCATTTTTCGACCCATGGTGATAAGAGATTTTCCTTACTTTGCATGCCGTATAAAGAAGCGACAGTAAACAGAATTCAGCTATCGATAAAATTCTTTTTGAAAAAAAAAATATTGGCCATTTTGTTTATTTCAATTTAAGACCTATAGATAAGAGTTATCAAATAATCACCACTTGGATTAATTATTCGGAGAAAATAATGAGTTGTCGACGGCTTTATCATTGACCTGTGACAGTTGATTAGTAATAGTATTACTCAATGACACAACCCCGCTTGTCGATTAATTTACATAATCAGCTACGTGGTTTCGATTAACACTCAACAGCAATCTATAGAAGATCAGAATTAATTTTTTTCTGCCACTGATCAGAGTGAATCGCACGTAGGTACCCAAAAACATTATTGCCAAAACCAAATATTTATTCATAATGCCTTGCGGTGTCTGGGCCAATCAGCAAATGAGTTGTATAGACAGCATGGCAACAGGCGGAGTATATTTATATTTTTTAGGGGTTTTAAAACTCTATTGTATCCGTTCAAAATCAATTCATTGACAATATTTTGATCATATTTGTAAACAAGGGATGCTCAGCTTTACAACTATGCCAATTATTATGCAAGAGGAATGACCGGTCGTCCCGCTGAGAGAGCGAAGAAAAATAACTAATTTCGCCGAGAATTTTAAGAAATAGGACAGATTTAAGAATACGGTACTCTTACAAAACGTTCAAATACAGGTGTTTTAAAATGTTTTATTGCTATTTTGATCTTTTGTGTCGATAGATATTATATTTATAGACTCATTTTTGTGAAAATCTTAATTTCGATCAAAATCAATATTTTCACTTATTTTGTCTTTATCTCATTATTGATTCATGCGCATTTCGACTCATTTAGCTGTGGCTATAATGTTAGGCAGAATTCTTGGGTTGAAATGTTGTCATCTTCGCTCTCGCTAAAACGGTATAATCGGACAATATTTTCATTTATTTTGTCTTTATCTCATTATTGATTCGTGCACATTTCGACTCATTCTTGGGTTGAAATGTCGTCATCTTCGCTCTTGCTAAAACGGTATAATCGGACAATTGATAATCGTGCAATCAATATGTCAATAAAGTTCTCCGATAAAATTTGTAAATTTTATAGTTCAAGTTAGAAACAGGCCAAAAATCGATGACTTATTTCTTTATAGTGCGGAGCCATATTTGCATTGGTGTGATTTGGATCCTGCACAGCTATTAAACTTTGGCCAATCAGCAGTCACGCTTGCAGGGTTGCGGTCAAAAGATCTGGGGTCAAGTACAAGGTCATAGCATTTGTAGGGCTATACTATACTATAACCCTAACCAAACACCAGAAAACAACCGGAAAACTTCCGGAAAACACCATGTTATACTGAATACCGAAAAACAGCGGAAAACAGCGGAAAAATACTAAATACCGGAAAACACACTAAATACCGAAAACATCCTAAATAGGTAACTCGGAGTCTGGTCCTCTGGAAAACACTGGAAAAACCTAACCCTAACCCCCCGCTGATCCTCTGGAAAACACCGGAAAAACCTAACCCTAACCCTAACTCCCCACAAACAGAGGACCAGGCTCTGGGTTACCTATTTATGGTGTTTTCCGGTATTTAGTGTGTTTTCTGGTATTTAGTGTTTTTCCGGTGTTTTCCGGTATTCAGTATAACATGGTGTTTTCCGGTATTGATATTGACGCATTTGTAAACAAAGCCATGTGGACTCTTTACCTTGCAACTTGCTTGCGGTCGGGATGAACAGAGATTCAATGAGCCAAGTAAACGTTCGTGTAGAGAAATTGTGTAAGAGAGCCCCAATAGATATTTTGATCACATTGACACAAACTGTGGCAGTCAGTCAGGTTTTTTCGACACTCACTAAGGATATTAGGTCGGGCGATTTCACAGGGAGATTACAAGTATAACAACCAGGCCACTGTTTCTACAGGTGTAATTCTAATAAAATCATTCATTTTACATAATATATTTAAAACATGTCTAAACTGCTGTCTTAATATGACCATGGATAGTGAAAAGCTAAAATTAAGAATGAAAAAAACGGATCGGCTGTACCGTATACGGAAGAAATCCCCCCCAAAATTGAGAAGTACCGAAACATTCTGGAAAAACTCCTCAAAATTTCAAAAAAATTACCGAAAAGATCTGAAAAATACCGAAATATATTTCCTGGAGTTTTTTTTGGTTTTTCCAGAATTTTTTGGGTATTTTCCAAACTTTTGTTGTATTTTTCGGTACTTTTCAAAAGGATCACATTGCCATTTCTGAACAAATAAGAGAACTTAAATTTTTAACTGAAATATCATAAATGATTCTCACTCCGCTAAAAATAGTGTAACGGCATAGGAGATGAAATTAAAATGCCTCACTATTTTGGTGGGATGTCTTGTGATCTGTGAGATCCAGTATAATCAATTCCAGATGGCCCATTGTAAGTCCATGATGTCATAACTGACTTCCTGTCATCTTGTATTTAGTTCTTCATCTCTAAAGAAATTGATATTTTTATCCAATTTTGCCAAAACTTGAAATCTAGGTTCCTTTCGAAAATGGCATGTATTGGCCCGTAACTTCATGGATTATGACCCCCGATTGTACGAAAAATCACTCTAGAGGTCACAATTTTTATCCGATTTTGATGAAACTTGAAATCTATGTCTATAACCCAAAGATCTTGCTTCCTGTCGATATTCAGACTGTAACTTCTTGGATTATGGCCCCTGATTATAAAAAAAATTGCTTTTTTTAGCTTGTGGTCCCTCACCGCTCGATCATTTCACCATTACACCGTAATGAAGGTTGGGTTCGAATTTCTTGACAATCGAAACTGCCGCACAAAATGGCCGCTCCCTGTACGCAAATAGTGTTAAGTAGGTAATACCAAGGTTGTGGACCCTCTAAAGGTCACAATTTTTATCCAATTTTGATGAAAATAAAAATATATGTTTATATCCCAAAGATCTCGGAATTCGCACATATCAAACAATAACTTCCTGGATTGAACAAAAAATCACATTTTTAGCTTGTGCGGTCACTATTTTTAAAACCGTTTCAATATATCACTGTTACACCCTGATGATGATTGAGTTCGAATTTCGGGAAAATCGCACCGACAAAATGGATGCTGCTTGAATGCAAATAGTGTAAAAGTATGTAATACGAAGGTTGTTGACCCACACAGTTTTTGTCCGATTTGGATGAAACATAAAATATATGTTTATATCTCAAAAGATCTCAGTTCCTTTCGATATTCACACATTTCAGACCATAACTTCCTGGATTATAGCTGGTTGTATGAAAAATCGCAGTGTTTTTTTTTAGCTTGTTCTCTATCCATCTCTTGCAAAATGTGGGCATATCTTGCCTGGCAAGTGCTGGTTTGGCATTTCCATGGATACCAGACAAGCCAGTCTATAGCCATAAAGTGTCCCTTAGGTTTGTTTCTTGGACTTGCATTTGGTGTAAAGCATTGCGGTCATGAGAGGATGAACCCTATCGATATAAATTGTAGACCATTGCATACCTTTATATTTATATGTATTTTTTTTAGGTCAAAGTTTTTGAGTGATGACTGGTTAAGTCAGAGGAATTTCCTACAGCTTGAAAATGATATTGATCCTTTGAAGGCTTGGTAAGTTGAAGTTTAGATTTTTATTTTGGAAATGAAAAGGGGTTTAGTGTCAGATTAAATTTAAATTTACACACAGCGTTTAAGGTCATAGATGCCTATTGATTTCAGTGTGGGTGTATTTTGTTGCCACCTTTGTCTGTTCATACAGATGAAAGTCCAAATTTGGCTTGTTCCCGCAGCCGAGGCTACAGTTTTTAAACGTCCATATTTTCATGTGGACTTAATTATGTTGTCGCCCCTGTCTGTCTGGATGTCATTTCACATTTATTGTCCCCCGCCTTTCGAAGAAAGCAGGGGACTATTAAAATGGGTTCGTCCGTCTGTCTGTCTGTCTGTCCGTCTGTCTGTCCGTCACACTTTTTGGGACACAATAACTCTCTTCCTAATTGAGCTAGAATGTTCAAACTTGGTGTATGTGTTTATTAGGTCAATGCCTTGATGGAGTTCGAAGATGAGCATTTTCCGCTTAGGGTAAGCAGAGATAAGCAATTTGATTGGTTGATGCTTTGGGACACGATAACTCTCTTCCTAATTGGGCTAGAATGTTCAAACTTGGTGTATGTGTTGATTAGGTCAATGCCTTGATGGAGTTCGAAGATGAGCATTTTCCGCTTAGGGTAAGCAGAGATAAGCAATTTGATTGGTTGATGCTTTGGGACACGATAACTTTTAATTGAGCTAGAATGTTCAAACTTGGTGTATGTGTTTATTAGGTCAATGCCTTGATGGAGTTCGAAGATGAGCATTTTCCGCTTAGGGTAAGCAGAGATAAGCAATTTGATTGGTTGATACTTTGGGGCACGATAACTCTCTTCCTAATTGAGCTAGAATGTTCAAACTTGGTGTATGTGTTGATTAGGTCAATGCCTTGATGGAGTTCGAAGATGAGCATTTTCCGCTTAGGGTAAGCAGAGATAAGCAATTTGATTGGTTGATGCTTTGGGACACGATAACTTTAGTTCTAATTAAGTGAGATTGATGAAACTTGGTGTTTAGTTTCATTACAGTAATACCTTGACTAAGTTTGATAATGAGCATTTTCTGCTCAGGGTAAGCAGAGCGATACGCAATTTGATTTTTATATGTGTCCTCTAATTATTTTCCTATTTCGGCGGGGGACATCAGCCTCACTGTTGGCTTGTTTGTGGACACTTTATTACATGTCACAATTTTTATCTGTACACAAAAACACATACTTATGGAAAAGCAGCTACTTATTTATTTCGAAGAGTATTCTCTCAACGTTATCAAGCTAATACAGTAATGCAAGAATTATGAGATCAATATATACAGAAAACTATAACAACAATTCATGAAACCATACAGGACAACAACAAGATCAAAGGGGTTTATTCTACAAATAACTAATTTTTTTTTTATATAAACAATATTTATTCAGAAAACTGAGGGGATTGAGGAACAGGCAAAGCCTATATAAACCCCTCTCCCGGTTACAATAAATTACATAATATTACAATATTTTGAAAATAAAGAAGAAAAAAGAATAGATAAAAGGAAATTATATATATATATGTACACATAACCCAATAAAAATATTTACATGTAAACATAAGTTTGAAATAATTAAAATCAGATATTTTTTAAAATCTAAATCTTTCGGTTTGTTCAATAAAATTATGGACCCCGTTAAATACTGACACGTTTTCGTTGTATGATAGTGTTTCCGATCCATATAGTAGCACTTTAGTGTTTTGTTGTGTATGAGGTAAAGTGTCGATTGTTCTGTGGCGAGCATCTGAATACAAGGAACATACAAGGAGATAGTGATAAGGATCTTCTATTATATTACCACATAAACATTCGGGGGTGTTTGAAATATGTCTTGTAAATTTATGAAAATTTAGATTACTGCAGCCTAGTCTTAGTTTAGTATGTATAATTTGATTTTTACGTTTGCCAATATAATAAAAGAGAGGTATTTTCGGATCACGTTTAGAGAGTTCTTGTTTAAATTTTGAGAGTGATAAGACATTTGTTATGGACGGATCTAGGCTGTTCCAGAGTCGGATAGCTGATGGAAAGAATGAATTGTAATAGAGAGATGTTTTGCAGAATATTTCATCTAATTCTGGTTTACTTCTAAGATTATATGGAGATGTTTTTAATTTAATGTGGTTGGATAAATAATTTGGAACCATTCCATTAATAATTTTATATATTGTCTGTAATTTATGTCTTTTTCTTCTTTCATTCAAAGGAATAATACCAGTTTCCAGATAGAGTAAACGGTGGCTAGTTCCCTTTACAGCCCCACAAATAGTGCGTAAGGCGTCAAGTTGAAGGTGTTCTAGTTGGTTCGCTAGGCGATCAGTGCAATTGTCCCAAATAATGTCCGCATAGTCGAAATGCGGTAGTATATAGGAATTGTAAATTATGCAAAGAGATTTTCTATTTAGCCTGTACTTTAGGGATCTTAAACAATTGATTAATTTTGATACTTTATTACAAATATTATTTATGTGGATATCCCATTTAAGTTTGTGTTGGAAGAAAAGACCCAAGTGCTTGTGGTTTTGCACATCATTTATTTTAACAGTATCCATAAAAAGTGGTGGTATGTTATTGTGTGGTTTGATAGATATTGTTAGTGATTCTGTTTTTGTGGGGTTGAAGGAAACCAGCCATTTTTTGGACCAAACGTTGATTTTCTCGATATCCGAATTCATTATTTTCGCACTTTCCGACGGATCTTTTATCAGTAAGTAGAGAGACGTGTCATCAGCAAACAATTTGATATTTGATTGAATATTTTCAATGATGTCATTAATATAAATTAAAAATAGAACACCGGAAGTGACGAATGATGACTCCGAGGCGACATTGTCCAGAACAACACACTGTGATCGACCAGTTATATAACTTTTAAACCAACTGTACAATGTGCCTCGGACCCCGACAGCATCAAGTTTAAGACAGAGTCCAGCATGCCAAACTCTATCGAATGCTTTGCTGATGTCACAGAACACCGTTCTCATGTAATAACCCTTATCGATTGCATTACAATAAAAATCATTTAAGTCTAGAAGTTGGTAGATAGTCGAGTCTCCTTTCATAAAACCACTTTGAAATTGTGTAAGTGTATTGTTATCTAGAAGGAAGTTAAAGACATGCTTATAAATACAACGTTCAAGGATCTTACTTATTATCGAGAGTAATGATATCGGGCGATAGTTGGAACATATATCCTTATTTCCTTTTTTATATATCGCTACGACGTTAGCATGTTTCCAGATCAAAGGGAAGATAGCACACCTAAGGGAATGATTAAACAGAGTACATAATGGGTTAGAAATTTCCTTAGATATAGATTTTAATAATTTTCCGCTAATATGATCAGGGCCAGAGGATTTAGAAGTATCGATAGAGTCAAGCATGTCTTTAACTTCATTCGGCTGTAGAGTAATATTAGTTATACTGTTGGTATTTCGGTTAATTAATGGCAGTGGGTGATTAAGATCATTAAGTTTGGATTGCTCAGCAAAATAAGTATTGAGTGCATTTGCCTTTTCTATAGGTGTGAATGCTGTGCCAGTATTTGTTTTTATAGGAGGTATGTCATGGTTCGATGAACCTGTAGTTTTTATAAATGAGTTGACTACCTGCCACCAGGACTTTGATCCAAGGTTATTGACATCATTAATTTTATTATCTAAACTTTCATGATATTCACTTTTACATTTCCGAATTAAAGATATATATTGATTTCTTGTCTTACGAAAAAGTGCCCAGTGGTCTGCCAAATCTGACTTCTTAGCTTTTTTGTGGATTTTATTTTTCAATTTACTTAACTTCCTTATGCTATTATTCATCCACGGCATGTCTCGTGGTCTAATGGTTACTAATTTATTTGGAATATATTTCTTTGCTACAGTTATTCATTCACTTGTAAATTTACTACATGACTCATCGACCGTATTGTTAGTGAGGAGTGTGTCCCAGTCAGTACTGCGGATTTCTTGTTGAAGTGCATCAGTATTCGTTTTCCCATAATCCCAAATTAGTCGCTTAAAGGATCGTTTTTGTGGACTCTGAAATGAAAGTTGACAGTACACAGGGCAGTGGTCGCTACAGAAGTTATCGAGGCTTTCAGCTTTGGAGACATGAATCGGACAATTTGTCAAAATTAAATCTAATAATGTCTTTTTCCCACTATCATTGTATCGGGTAGGTGAAGTTATCATTTGTTTAAGATCAAAAATATTGACATCATTAATTTTATTATCTAAACTTTCATGATATTCACTTTTACATTTCCGAATTAAAGATATATATTGATTTCTTGTCTTACGAAAAAGTGCCCAGTGGTCTGCCAAATCTGACTTCTTAGCTTTTTTGTGGATTTTATTTTTCAATTTACTTAACTTCCTTATGCTATTATTCATCCACGGCATGTCTCGTGGTCTAATGGTTACTAATTTATTTGGAATATATTTCTTTGCTACAGTTATTCATTCACTTGTAAATTTACTACATGACTCATCGACCGTATTGTTAGTGAGGAGTGTGTCCCAGTCAGTACTGCGGATTTCTTGTTGAAGTGCATCAGTATTCGTTTTCCCATAATCCCAAATTAGTCGCTTAAAGGATCGTTTTTGTGGACTCTGAAATGAAAGTTGACAGTACACAGGGCAGTGGTCGCTACAGAAGTTATCGAGGCATTCAGCTTTGGAGACATGAATCGGACAATTTGTCAAAATTAAATCTAATAACGTCTTTTTCCCACTATCATTGTATCGGGTAGGTGAAGTTATCATTTGTTTAAGATCAAAAATATTGATAGCCTCATGGATAAAAGAATTAGAAATGTTGAAAAAATCAATATTAAAGTCACCTAAGATAAAACATTGTGAGATATCATCAGTGAGTGCCAAGTTGAATGAATTGAAAATAGAGTAGTTAATATTTGATGTACAGTTAGGGGGTCTGTAAAATGTACCTAATAAAAATTTGTTATTGTAACTATGTATTTCTAACCAGAT